AATTTCAACCAAACCAGTCCAGCTTATTTGCGTGAAAAAGTAACAAACATACATCCATACATTCTCACAAGCTTTCACATTTGTAATATAAGTACGATAGTACAATCTAGAATGCCTCGGTAAATGGACTAACAGAAAAAATAACATAATTGTTCAATAATCGAACCAGTAGTTAGGTAGAGATAGAAACAGATAGACAAACTCTTCATCTATACTCGTATAATATAAGTACAATAAATGAAGCATTTTGCCGGATCAATTAAGCCCTCCTTATTAATGATAGGTAGTCATCGAGTTGACTCTTCATTGTTCAGATACCAAAATATTTACTTAAGAATATGTCACAACGACCTTGAGAAACGTATTTCTAAGACCTAAGTTATTGTCTTTAGGGCTTTCATATCTCGATGAAAGTCTCCTTGGTTTATAAACTAGTTATAATATCACTTAAGTGATTCTTAAACGTCAGGAATTGGCTCAAACACTTGTGAATAAAGGTTTCATTAGATAAAAAAAAAACATTTTAACCCATAAAAAGTGAGGCGAAAATCTTGTTTAGCCCCAAAATAAATCTAATTTTCACCATCTTTTAAGAATAAATTTATCTGCCAGTTTATTTTTACATATGACATTATGAAATCAGGAGTTTTTATAGCCTCACGGATATGCAGAAGCGGTTGGTAAGCCCACTTGCTTTTGAAATGTATATTAAAAATCTGGAAATAGAATATATTACGAAGCATATTCTCCCCTCATAAAAGGTAAGTACTATGTTCGGAAAAGGTGAAAATACAGGGTGTAAAAAGACACTTAACGAAGCCGTTAACAACGCATACTGCAATTCTAACTATGTAGCTTTACGCTAAAATTATCACTTTTGGGAAACGACTTTTAATTTTAGGTATCAAAATTAGTATGAAAACGCTATGATAAGTACGTAGGTCGACGTTTTACTTCGCAACAACAAAACAATTCTGTAAAATAAAAATCCTACTGAGATGTACGATGTTTTTTAAGCGGATCTGCATTTATTTATTACGTACAATACTGTTCGTAACTTCAAATGCGTAATTTATTTACAAAAATCGAAAATTCAGGTAATGTTTGTTTAGAAAAAAGTTTTGTAACAATACTTAGAATACGATTGCGCAAAAAAAAATTAAAAATGCATTTTTGACCTTAAATATCTCGAGTACCCGTGGAGTCCCAGCTATGGTCTTAAAGAAAAAAATGTTCCAAATAATGGGTAGAATACGTGGCTTTCGGCTTCGTTATGTGTCTTTTTACACCCGGTATCAATATTATACAATATCTTTACACAAGCCTAGTTTCGCTAATTTCCCACAAACACTTAGGGTGACTGGCAGAGAATGACATATGCCATTTTGTCCGCCTTATGTACATTAGTTTATTATGTGTTCGTTAAAGTATTAAAACGAGCTGTCTGATAACCTGATGGTAAGCAATCGGTCGCACCACAAGAGGAAATAGCCAGTGAAAGGAGAGGAGGAAGGAAAGGACCTCACTCACACGGCGAAACACAACGCTGTGGTTTTTTCACGCCGGTTTTCTGAGAAGTTAGCCAATTTATGCCAAGGCATAGCTTTCCGATACTTGGTTACAAGGTGAAATTGTCTTTGATGTAATATTTAAAACTAATAGGTTTTTTCTTTACCTATGAAATTGCCTTTCTGCAGTACTGGCCATTTCAAATTAAAATAGTTTTTGTTAGGCTAAGGCTAATTAATTTTGTTTTAAAAACATGGGATTATTTTTCCAAAAGTAGTCATTTGTTCATTGATTAAGTGTTACATTTTCATCGCATTTCAAATCAAAAAATTCGTTTAAATTTTTTCATGCAAAACGGCAATTTCATAGGTAAAGATCTATTATTTACACAAAACCTTTATAAATTTGAATGAAGGGACTTCAAAATATTCACCTGTGATCTCATGAACCCATTGATTATTTCATTTCATTTACAAATAGCTAACTTTCTTTTGTATTTAATATAAAAATCCATATTTGATTTATTTGCCATTCGAAATAATAAATCGTAAATGATTTGTGTCAATTTTATGCGCGAAAAGCAAAAAAATACGAATATTTTATAATGAATTCATGAATAATATTTTACAATATACATGGGGTATTTTTGTGAGATTGTTTGAACAGGTAATAAACGTAATTTGGCTTCAAATAAAAAGTTCTAAATAAAAAATAGAAGGAAGTAGGGAAAGGAGGCGCAGTAGCTGGGCAACTGGCTGCCGCGCAACGTGTCATGGATTCGATTCCCGCACCGAACAACTCTTTGCGCGATCCACAAATTGTTATTCCTGGTCCTGTGATTTGTATGTTAAATTGTATGTCTATACGACACTGGAGAAAATCCTAGTGTGGGGCAAAGATTTTTTTAAAGAAGCGTCTTCGATATGTGCTCGAAATTGGACAGGGTGAACTAATAAAAAAGAGAAAATCTTTTAAAATATTCCAGAATACAACAAAATCTGCATGAAAAGTGTGATCTTGCTACATTTACGGAGACAAGATTTTAAAAATTACTATTACTACTTTTAGTTTTAAATTCATTCAGTAATTCAGAAAATAACCAATAAATCCAGTTAAACGACTCAAATGAGTTGGATTGGAACCGACAATACTTTTCTTATTACACCAATACATTCTTTTGTACTATATTGTTTTATTTCTTGACAATCACCAAGCTCGTTGAATATTCAACAAAAGAATTTGCTTGAACAAATTAATGTCTGCCACCCGCGCAAATTGCAGACACGATTTATCACTGGTTGGTTATATTAAATCTTGTCAAAGAAAACCTGTTACTCCCACAACGTTTATCGACTAACTGTCGTAATAATTACTTATAATATTCCTCAGGAAAATAGGCAAAGGTGCTATGAATTGGGCTAAGTCACCTTTACATGATTGTTGTGAAAGTCTTTGCGAAATAACTGTTGTAAAAGTCAATGGTGGTCAAAAAGATGTCAATTGGTATGTAAAAAATATGCTGTAGGCAATGGTAATAGTACTTAATTATTATTAACTCCTAGTAGGTATAGTCTAGTCTATTTCTCAAAACTATTTCTCGACTATTTTCATACTAAATTAAATAAATATCTCAAACTCACAAATAAACATGACAAGATATTGAGTGAGCTTCTAATTCAGTAGGTACTTTAAATCAATCAAAAATTTCCGCAAATATTTTAATTTTATTTGATTAGAGAGATTTCTATTTTCTATCTGTTAGTATTTCAGGAACTTTTGAGCTGAAACTTGTTTGGATATCGTTTGTAGGCTTTATATTATCTAATACGAGAACCGATTCGAATTCGATTCTTGTATAAGCGTGGAACTGCGTTTCGATTGTGCCACAGATACCTAGGTATTCAATAGAACTAAGTGTCCTTGTAAATTGGAAACTGTTTGTGATTTACGAGTTGCATATCGGACTATTTCTAATGTGTGTTATGTGCATAGTATATGTTAGGTTATGAATCATGGAACATTAATGCTGTATTTTAATTGATTACTTACTTATAATGCGCAAACGGGTAAATGCTGGTATTGTCCTGTGTTTTGTTGAGCCAAGTAAAATTGTATAGATAACTGTTTTTTTTTCGGAAAAACCGAATTGTGTGATTTCTCAATTTAATCATATGTACATAACTTCCTCATTTATCGGTTCATATTCATTGCTATATAGGTACTAAATCGGTTGATTTTTATTTTCTTTTTTATTCGACTTGTAATTGGTTCCAAACATCTGTCATTGTCATTGTATACCTAACTATGTATTTAAATTAACAATATTTTTTTTTGCTTTGTTTATTCCTAGCATGAAGTAATTTTAACTCAATTTTTACTCGAACTATGAAGTTTTACTTCATAGTTTCCATTATTTTTCTTCAAGATTTTATAGTTTCAAATTTTTTTCATTCATTATTATTGTACTAAAGCAAAAGGAGGGTTATGATTTCGACAAGCTATGTATGTGTGTATGTATATTGTATGTGTGAGAATTCGACATATGACATATCATTAGACACGTTTTAATTGTCCGCTGGTTATAGGCTATATGGGGTATCACAAAATCTAATGTGCAGTATAAAAATAAAGTTAAGATAATTATACCGTGTTTGGTACCATTTTAAAGCGCTTTACTTGTACATTTTGAATACTTTACTTTGAAGACTTTGCTTGTATTCATGGGCTGATTGCATATAATTCACATGTTTTCGTTCATACCTTTTAGTACTTAATATTAGTTCATTCTTTTGTTGATATTATGCACCACAAATACACTTTAACACCAAAATAGTACAATAATAAAAAGTATAAAACAAGATTTTCAGAATACTGAAAGGCGTAGTCACACGTTATTAAAGTGCAGGTATGGTAAGTAGCAATGAGGCACCGCGACCTCGGCCTAGAGCAGGAGTAGGAACAGGGGAGTTTTTAGTCAGTAAGAGTCTGACACTCCCTTCCGCCTGACCCTGGGCGGGAGTAGTCTTTTGATGATTTTCCCCTCACAAAAAAGGTATGGTAAGTAAATGTAACGTGTGACTACGCCTTTCAGTATTCTGAAAATCTTGTTTTATACTTTTTCAGCGTCGGTTTTTGTCGTAGTTGGGTTTTAATTTTATACTTTTTATTATTGCCTGCCGTTTTGGCAAGGTTACACCTGCCATGGTCACAAGCAGACTTTACTTATTGAACTTCAGTTGTTTCATATTAACTTACGAGTTAAGTAAACACATAAGCCACTTATGTACATTCTGTCACATAAACTGTATCCAAGGTTAATATGTGAATATTACCAACCCTTGACCTCCATTTTTACATGAATTATATTTATAGAACTGTCAGTCGTAAAGACAGTCTCAATTTATGGTAACCATAAAGATTGCTTCTCCAAGCGTATTTTTTTGTATGTTTACAACGACCCACCCATAATTGAAGATTGTTACTATTATATTTCACACAACCGGTGTAGCTGTGAGGGAAAAATCATTGTGTTCAGTTTTATTTCAATCAGGCCTTTTTTGTGGGAGGGGAAAATCATCAAATGACTTTTACCGCCTATGGTGAGGCAGGAGGGAGTGTCAGACTCTTACTGACTGAATCCTTCCGTTCGTTCTCCTGCTTTAGGCCGAGGCCGCGGTGCCTTATTGCGCTTACCCCGCAACCCCGGCTGAATAACCGGTATTGATAAGCTAGCACAAAATATTCTTAATGATGACTTGTTTTTTTATAGGACAACAAATGAGTAACCATATATCTTGATGGTAAGCAATTGGTGCCTTGCCAGGCTTTCCAGAGTGAGGGATTTGCGGGTTGGAACTTATCTCGAACCCGCAAATCCCTCATATATATTTATTTATTTATTTATTTGAGACTTCATGCACAAAACATTGTACATAGGCGGACTTAATGCAATGAGCATTCTCTACCAGTCTACCTTTGGGTGATGCAGAGATAATCTAGTATATAGGAGATATATATAGGAGATAAAGGATAGATCTCATATAACCTCAGTCATTAGGCAAAACATAATGCTAGCGTGGTTTCACGTTGGTTTTCTGTTAGACTTTGATTTTACTCCAGTCGAGTCAGCCAATTCTTTCCTGTCCCGTCCCTCACTGAATACCGCCCACAATTTATTATATATGTATATTCCATATTTAAAACAAGTTTAAAAAATATGTACAAGTACAACATATTCCCAAAATAATTTCTTTCTTCACACTTATTTGTTTGCTCACACATCCTTTTTGATATTTCGAAAACAAACCTTACGGTACAATTTATACAAATGATTTTAGCCTGAAGAAGAGCAACGAGCGAGTAGCGCAACTACAAACGCCTGTCACACACACTCACCGCACTCTAACAGACAAACCACACATCTACATTAACTTGTACAGCCACTAAAAAGAATAAAACCTACATAAATCTAATGCTGCGATGTGTGTGTCACTGTGACTCTAGGGATTTCTAGCCTAGTCCAGTGAAAGCGTCTGAAAACTGCAAACTGAAAAATTCCAAATTGTCACCTACTTTTAATAGTAAAAAAGACTGCAAATATATTCCGTTCCTTGTCGATAAAGCCCTAATGTGTAGAAAACTTTAAAATAATAAAGGGTACCAAATTATCCCGTTTGTTGTCGATTTTTGATGGCGCTGTTGCGATTACATGAACGCTATAACGCTATAACGTATAGTCGTAAACGATGAAAAAAAACATTTGACAGCTAAGTTTCTTATTCTCGGTGCATGAGCTTGTTGTACGTAATAATATGAAAGGTTTTATTAACATTATCATCAGCCTATAAATGCCCACTGCTAAGCAAAGGACTCTTCTCACTCAAAGAAGGTTTGAGCATCAATCTGTGGAGTAGATCTTTATCTATGGAGGCTTGTCATTAGCGATATGATTACTGTATATTATTAAACTATTATCGTATTAGTCTGTAAGCCTTCTTAAAAAACAATAAATAAATAAATCACTACACTTGTTCAAGGCAGATAGGCGATTTCAAATTTATAACTAGAAATTATATGTCCAGGTTTCCTCGCGATGTTTTTCTTCTCATTTCAGTAGTGTCTTATTAATTAAAGAAAATATATTATATAACTCGAAAGAATCACATTAGGACTTGTCAGGTTTCGTACCACTCATGGAATGGAAACGACATGGAAAGCGGGCGTACTAACACAAGTTTATACTGAAGAATTAAGTCTGAATAAAATAAAATATATTGATAACTTTTTACAAAATATTGTTTATAATAATAAGCCACAGAACTTTCAATAGTTAACTAAGTATGGTATATTATTAACACAATTATGAAATAATTGTTATTAACAAGGACTTATGACATTTAAGCAAATAACAAATAGCCACTATGTGCCAAATAAATTTAAATTCAGAACGTAATGTATATGAACTGTGGTCCACATATAGTTGTAATGCGAAATATGTTAAACTTTTTTGTCTTAAAAAAAGTTTTTAATAAAAAGATGATGTGACTTTCGTTCTATACAAAAAAGCTGCCAGCACTTTAATTAAACTGGCCATGTAAGGCCTATGTAGAAACATGGGTCCAATACGTAGCGAATATATAAAGGATTTTCATTAAAAGACGCCACGCGCTGTCAAGAATCATTGTTTGTAATAAAATAAAATTTAACGCGTGTAATGTTCAAATAACAATACAACACTGATATACATTATTTATTTTATTTACGGCCTTAGGTACTTAATGGGGATTTATTTACTAGGCAACATTGCTAAGGTTTATCTTTGAAAATATAACTTCGACTATTTTTATCTATAATATAAAGTCATCGTAGTTACAAACCATTGTCATCATCATCAGCTTATAAGTGCCCACTGCTGACCAAAAGCCTCTCACTCAAGGCCCATACCGAGGTTTGAGCATTATTCACCACGCTTGTTCATGGCGGATTCGTGAATTACAACTTATAATTAGAAACTATAAAGTTCAGGTTTTCTCCCGATGTTTGCCGTCACAGTAAATGTTACAGTGGTGTTTAAATAATCGAAGAAAGTACATATAACCCGGAAAAAGTCACATTAGTATTTATCAAGTTTCGACACCGCACCCTCATTCATGAAAAACGGTTGCCATTACCTTAAGACCACTACGATGTTTTCCTATACATCTAAAACATTTCCTAAAAATCTAAAACATTTCCTAATATTTAAAACTTACTTGGTGGGTAATCCCTGTAGCTAATCTCACTGTACACAGCGAAGGGAGACGCGCACACTATGGATATAATCCATAGCACCAAAATGATCCTTGAGGCTCTGGTCAGACCAGCCATCGTGTATAGATGTAGAGGATGACATATAGCCAGGTATCTCTCCAAGGAAAATGCCGATATCGTCAGTACAGAAACGTAAGTAGCTCTGAAACAAAGATAAAAATGAAATTAGATGACTGTTAATTATATTTCGGCAAAACATTTTGTAGGATATGACAGCCAAGTCAGGTTTAGAAATTCCTGATGGTAAATAATCGAGGCCTCTCTCGTTCGACTTACGAATAGTACAATAATCTACATTTGTATCATTCTTCCTGATATATGTATATAAACTTTTTATTTAGTTCGAATACTTATTTTTTGAAAATGAAACTGTCGAATAAGGGTGTTATTTTTCTCCTTTATTACAATTTTACACAGAATAGTTCTAAGAACATGTCTCAAAATGTTTGTACAGCCACCATCATGTACCAGGTAAATGTAGAACAAGAATATAGAGCGTCATTTTGTATTCATGAACTAAGTGCCACATAAATTTATCGAGAACTTACACATATAAAGGTAAAACGGGCGCTCAATGGACCCAATTATCTCAACAGTAAAACCTTTTTGACCAAATTTATTAGTTCACAGATAGGTTAAAAACCTCATTTACTTGGCTTTTTGTTGAGGTATGCAAAAAAGGGGCTAAATAATTTGACACCGAAACGTCGAGCGGTTTTTAAAAACCTTCTAATTATTTTGGGGCTTGTAAACAAGACTGAAACCTGCGTTGCAATAATTATATTGTATTTTAGGTAGCCTGTCAACATTTTAACTACCTAAAAAGGACCACGTGTCATATATTATTAATCACTATACAGCTCAAAAGGGTACCCATATTCAAAAGTTACCTGGGCTTATATTTCAATGCTCATTTATTTTTTTATTTTTCAAATTTTGCTTAACACTAGGCTTTTCCTCCTATGTTGCCCAGCTACTGTGCCAACCGTGCAGGCCAAAATTCCCCAATTAATAACCATTTATCCCTCTTTACAAAACATCACGAATGTCTATAGTATATTATGTATCGGATTCTATCGCACCAATAACCTCTTGTCTGCCGGTATATGAGACAATGGAAAACACATTGTGTCTGCGTAGATCTCCGCTTCGCCATATCATGGGTTAATATTGAGCTTTATTTGAGAGGGAATATTGTTCATATCATCAAATAACTTCGCCATATGTTGGACGAGAGAGAGTATCATAGTCTTACTGACTTAATGTCACCCCGTTCCTTACTCCTACTCCGAAGCCGCAGTACATTATTACACAAGTACCCACAACCCGTTTTTTTTGTGAGGGGAAAATCAAATGTCTTCTCCCGCCCAGGGCCGGACGGGATGGAGTGTCAGACTCTTACTGACTAAAAACCCCGCCGTTCCTTCTCCTGCTCTGAGCCGATGTCGCGGTGCCTCATTGCGCTTACCCCGCACCCCGGCTGAACATCAGCCCTATAGGGCCCCGTCTGTGGTAGTACTCACAACCCTGGCTGAATAATAACGGTCTTATATCCAAATTACCACATTTAACGTAGAGGCTGTTGTAACATCACTAAATAGTATAACTAAATGGTACACCACTATAACTTCCGTCATTGTCTGTTCTAAATTTCATAGTCGACATCTTGTTGACCATTGACAATGTAATTCGGGTCTCAAATAACTAAGATTTAGGTCTTTTATTCATAGAACAATGACGATTGACACCAATTTAATAAAAAATAATGTTATTTAACTCCGTGTATTACATAACATGTGTGTCCTCTGTTAAATAATATATCTGATATTTCAATAGTCCGATAAATATCATCAGAGCAATAAAATTGTCTCTGTCTTATACAAACATTCTGACGCGACAGCATCATAATTATTCCCCAGGTAACTTTTAAACATTGAAAAATCAGCCGTAAAGGAAACACCTCGTATCTACCCATTTATATATTTAAGATCAAGAATAAAAAAGGAACGTTTTATGACGTATGTAGTAACTCCTTATTCAAAACTAGATATATTTGAAGAAGGACGCAATACTTCGAAATAGCTCAATAGAACCGTCTGTTTGTAGAACAGTCTGTTTATAGAAGACAGATTTTGGAGTTACGTAAACATAAAGTTGCATATTATTGTTTCATGGTGGCCCGGAGGTTAAGGAGCCAGCTTTTCATGTATAAGGGTGTGGTTTTGAAACCTGGCAAGTTACAATGTGACTTTTTCCGGGTTATGTGTACTTTCTATGATTATTTAGACACCACTGACTTTCTAAGATTATTTAAACATCGTGAAACCTGGACTTATAATTTATAATTATAAGTTTGAAATCGCTAACCTGCATTGAGCAAGCATGGTGATTAGTACTCAAACCTTCTCCGTGTGAGAAGAGGCCTTTGTTTAGCAGTGGGCACTTATAGGCTGATGATGATGATGAAAGTTGCATATTAAAAGCTTACGGATGGATTTATCTCAATATGTTGATTTATGTAATCGATATACCCAAAAAGGGTTATAAATCATTGAGTTGGGCAGTGCTGTTATCTTCTCAAATGAGCCATCAGGATTGATCAGATCCAAACTGTCCACATTTATATTATTGTTAACCTTAAGTTTATTTACTTTTACTGAATATTAGTGTGACACTGTTCTCACATTATTGAGCCAGCTTAAAACTGTAACAAACTATTTGAGAAACTGAATAACCATGGAGTTTGTTGCTCGTTATTCTTTATCGGAACTTTGTATTGGATTTCAGTACTTATGTATATATAATAATACGCACATACCTATCTTTCTCGTATGACATGCCCCATATAAAATTAAGTCTGTTGGCTTACTTTTTGCTTTTCTCTGAATCACCCAAGGCTCGACTGGTAAAAAATGGCCTTAGCTCGCCGCGCGACCAGAACCAGACCGGAGCGTACGGCGCGTAGCGTTCCGCGCGCGCCTCAAAGAGCCAATAGACCACAACAGACGGAGCCCTATAGGGGTGATGTTCAATCGGGGTTGCGGGTTAAGCGCAATGAGTCACCGCGGCCTTGGCCCAGAGCAGGAGAAGGAACGGGGGTTTTTAGTCAGTAAGAGTCTGACATTCTCACTTACCCTGGGCGGGAGAAGTCATTAGATGATTTTCCCCTGATAAAAAAGTACTTATTTAAAAGAATAATTTATTCGATCTATACAGAAATTGTACGGCATTATTGTAATGTGAGGTCTTTTCTGTAGACTGTCACTTTCAGAGTACGGAACGTCTGTTATACAAGTCCAAAACATACTTCGTCGTTTTTTTTTTCTTTTGTCCATACGTGTCGCGCAGCTGTCCAAATCACTTATGGACCACATTAGAGCGGTTATCATATAAATACCCTGGGCCGACACAGTGATAAATGATAAAAAATCTTTTGGATTTCTTTGTGTGAATAACAAGGGACACAGATTTAGTTTTCAACCCAATACTTGTACTTTTTCCTTCGACATTTTTAGTGGTCATAAAGAGTTGAGCTATATGTACGTTCAAAGATTATTAAGATGCCACTAACATACGGGGAAGAAAACATCGTGAGGAAACCGGGACTTATAATTTCTAATTATTTGTTTGAAACCGTCAAACCTCCTTGAGAGAGCTGAAAAGAGGCCTTTGCTCAGCAGTGGGCACTTGTAGGCTGACGATGTGAAGTTTAAAAGCAATCTAAGATGCATCCAACGAACTTTGTTCCTAAGCTAACCAACTAAAGGCTGTGTACCTCAGTGTCAGTTCTCACCAAGACGCGACGCAAAGCTACGTGAACACAGTTCGATTCAAAAAACAACTTTATTTCTCACACGACAAGGTATAAATTTCAAGCATTGCGTCTCGATGTGATTTGTCTAAGTTTCAATGACGCGTCTTATATTTTCCACCTTTTTGGTACTTGAGAGAAACGACAACATATCTGTGGCAATTAAATACTAGTGATACATATCATAAACGCATTATGCTTAGACAATAATGTTGCTTAGTCTGTTCGGCTCGAGCATTAGCTCTCCAGTGACATGAAATTAAACAAAGCTAAGGGTCTTGATGATAATATTTAAATTTCAATTGTTCCAAGCAATACTACGACGGCCTACTTTTGACAGCAACTAACATCCTTTGTTCTCAAGTAAGTCTGTCTGAAAATATGCAACAGAACTTAAATTTTATTTTTTTCATTTGTATACAAAAATTATACATTACTCTTTTACAGATATAAGTAGCATCTAGCGATTTCTTGACACTCTATTAACAACATGAGTACTATTTTAAGAAACAGAATTATTGCAAACCACGACTTATTCCCACGAATTAAATGAGAAAAGGTCTATATGAACGCTTTCAAGCCATAACGGGACTCTTATTCGACAAAAAGTGTGAGTGACACGTAAGTCGTTATATTTATAGGTTATATAAAAATTTCGTATCACGTGTTTCTCCGCGATGGACTCCTAAACTAAGAAACCGATTTTAAATTTGATTTGCATTCCGTATGCATTTTGATCATACTTGAAAGATAGGATAGCTTACATCTCAATTTATAATCACAATATTATTTACCTTAGCTACAGCAACGCGTGGCTGGGTCTGCTACTCTCAGGTATAATATATTTGCGAAAATAGTCCTTTTGCGGTAAAATGCATCGGATGCCAGACAGTAAATAAATTTAACGACATCCTTCAAGAAAACAGAACTCGTATTTTTCCAAGATTTATAAACAGATGCTCATAAAATATGAAACGTTTTAAAAGTGCTTGTAGAATTTTTATAAGGTTTCTAAGTAAAAAATGTTGAATTTATGACGGCTATGAGATACTTACTATTGTTTAAATAAAGTGCTTGATTTCGTGTTGGATACTCAACGGATCTTTTTACAAAGAACTCACGAGTAGTTTGATGTAGTTTTTGCTTTTATATTTCGAAATTTAAATAACATTGAATGTTATTTCTTTTAATTACTTACTTAATAATTCAACCTACTAGAGTAAAATTGAGATGCAAAATGTGCTGCTACGCCCAAACCCTAGAGTTGTGAATCAGACCCATCAGCAGCAGTGACACATGATGTGTACCAGAAGACTTCCCCGTGGTGTATCCTGGGTGTGGGTGACAGTCTCCCTACATCGGTAACGGGTTGGTAGTAGGGTTGGAATAACTAACCCGTAACTGACTTCTGGTGGGGTAGAATCCGGTCGGAGTACGGAGGTTAAAAAAAATTAAGAGCCAAGCTTTGGCACGACTGGGTCGGCTCGACCGGTGGCGTGAACTGGCGTGAAACAGCTACTGCGCTGTGTTTCGCTGTGTGAGTAAGGTTACCGGAGACTGGTGTTGCGATACTTAACTAGACTCAGCTTGGACATTACAGAACAAAAGAAATATGGAAGTTATTAATTTAGCAAAATACATCTACACGAACCCGTGGGATTCAGGAAAACGTGAATTAATCAAAATTACACAAGACAGCTACTTAATGACGTAATTCTCCTTTCCACCATTTTCAGTAACCTATTTAGAATTTAGGTATTGTGTTGAACTTAAGTACACATACTGGATAGTCAATGAGCCATGTACGCAGATTTAGAATTAGTCATGAAGTTGAGTTTCTGCTTGTAAATCTAAAGGTAGAGAGGTAATGAAAATTAAATATTAATACGGTATTAGAGATACGTGTGATACGGTATTACAGATAAGTGTAGGAAAGCTATGCTTCAACACGAAAAGTTCGGCTCGACCGGAGTGATAGCACGGCCTCACAGAAAACCGGCGTAATATAACAACAGCGTTGTGTTTCGCCGCGTGAGTAAGGTTGTCGAAGGCTCAATCCCTCCCCAATCCCTAAATCTCAAAATCCCTAATCCCCAAAAAACGGACAACGCTCGAGCAACACCAGAAGAGTTCAGTTGTACATGGGCGGCGCCGATTGCTTATATTGAGGTGGTAATACTTCTGCCCGATTGCCGACCTATCAAATCAAAAAGACAGGTACAAAACCCGAGAATCTTATAGGTACTTACATACAATGTTTGTTTTCCAAACAGAGGAAAGCGTTAGGTGTTTTTTTTTTGTTTGTATTAAATATCAAGATTTTTATAGTCAATTTTTTAGTTGTATCGTATGTAAGTTTACGTTTTGTCAATAGTATCGTCGCCTATTAGAAAGTAGGTATAGGAAAGTACAGAACCAATCGCTGCGATATAGCTTCTAAGTTTAGGCCTCCAGCCAGGGCAAAAACTTAAAGTTACATAATAAATGACCTTTTTACTGAGGACAACTTGGGATTTCGAACCTCAGATCTAGTCAGGCAGGCATGCTTCTCCCTGAAATGACAGAACCTTATCTTGGAGAATTTTAGAGGTTTTTGGATCAGTGAAGTTTCCGCGCAAGTACCAACGACGGAATGCGTGATAGGAATGTTTCTCTTGGGTTCTAATACTCATCGTCGGCTTCAGTTTTCTTTCAGGTTATGCCAAGGCAAAAAGGGCTAAATTTAATAACCTACTGTATCAACCGCCTGTTCATAAAGATATCTATAAGAAAAATGTGTGTAATATGTGTATTTTGATTTATAATAACCTCCCAAATGAACTGAAATTGTTACATGGTAATCTATTTAAAATACAATTGACACAGTGGTTACAAAAAAACTGTTTTTATAGTATTAAGGAATTTATAGAATTCGGAAATAAACGTAGCTTTAATTAGTAAAATTATGTGGACGATAAAATTGTTAAAATAATTATATTAAGTGGACTTTTTTATTAGATTCTTACATTAATCGAATTTATTAATATTGTATAATTATGATAATAACGAATTAATTGCATGACGTAGATAATTTAATGACATAATTATAAATAATTTGCACGCTTGCTTGCAGGCTGAATGCAGTGACTTTTAGGATATAAGACTTTCCTTATTAAACAATGTAATTCTTGCAAATAAACACTTTTGAATTTGAATTTTAATATCAAAAACATCAATTGTCTTTTAATATTATTTTTAACTAACGAATGTAATGTTCATGTTATTCAATGAGAAAATAATAAAATACTTCTTCGAAACTGAATCCAATTAACGAACACACACCAAAAAAAGACCACCATTTTTATTTCGGCGTACAATTTATTTTTTTCACACAGACATTGATCAAAAGTTGATCCAATTTAAATTCGTTTTACACATAAACTTATGTGACACTCGCATTACGTACAAGAAATACAAGGGGTGAAAACCACATTATTTTAGCACAAGCACGCTTTCAAAAGCAATTTACAACGATTATTGTCTGATAAGATAACTAACCGCTTGTCTGTCGTTGAATATTCATTGTAGAAAAAAACCCTACATACACCGAGATATTGACATATCATAGTAGAATAACTTTTATTTTTTATGTTATAGGCAATCGTGCAGCCTTATTACCTGATGGTAAGCAATCGTCGCCGCCCATGTAGACCCGCAACACCAAGAGAGCTACGAGTGCGATGCCGCGTTTTTGGAGATATTGGGATTGGGGTCCTCACTCATATGGCGAGACAGAACGCTGTGATTGTTTTTATGTAATCTCTAGACTAAAATAACGAAAGACAAGTAAATAAATATGTAGAATAAATGTAGTTAGTCGACCTTATTTGTGGTTGACCATTTTTCTCTGTTAAGTACTTGCCTTGAGATAAAAGTTACAGATTTGTAGTCATAAACTATGCCGACTGTGTGTAACTTACTATAATTTTGTACATTATTTATTGAGATTTTACTTGAGAGAGAAAAACAATGGCATTTTTTTTTTTTATTAATTTTAAACATGAAGATAAGTTTGTTAATTATATGTATATTTGGTGATGTTTGTTACTCTTTCACGCAAGAACCACTGGATGGATTTGAATGAAAAGATACAATATAGTCTGTAGGAACACAAGGAGTACTTTTTTCGAGGCGCAAGCTGGTGAGAAATGAACCAAAAATAAGACAGGTCAGGTAGAAAGAGGTGAATCATATTTGATTGTGTAATAGGGGTTACCAGCATTGTTTTATAGGATGTGGCAAAACGAGTTGGTGGATTACCTGATAATGGTAAGAGATCAACGCTGTTCATGTACGCTATGTACCTAACAATAGAAG